GTTCATATATTTTCTATTACCAGAACAGCACACACATGATGGTACTTAATATGGAACAAGTAGTAGTCATACTTTAATTTTTTCATAAAAGCTCGGTGGGTTTTTTCCAAATATTGAGTAACCATAGCAACAAAGGTAACCCTATAGCAACAAAGCTAAAAAAAAACAAATTGTAACATATGTATTTAATATTAAAGTCTAAATGCATATAAATGGACCAAAAAAGATTTATTTAAGCTATTCACCTTCGAGTGTTGTCAATTGATCCCGTTTTTGACAAGAAAGTATTACATAGCAACCGAACAATGTCCTTAGCAACCAAAATGAACAAACTTAATTTGTTTTGTTTTTTTTCATACAAAAATATTCTACAGTGCAAAAAATGACAATTAAGTGGTCAGATATCAATAATTTCTATAAAAAATAATTTATTTAAACAATATCATTAGTATTCATTAGTAACAATTTAAACCTCCTAGTAACAAAAAAGATTCTTTCCATGCCAATAATCAAAATACAAAAACATAATAAAAGAATACTATCAACATGTACTTTTTATATCTAAAGAGCTGTTTTTAAATAAAAATCTAGGAAAAGCCATTTTAAATGTTGTGATGGGTTCTCATTACCCCATACATGTATAGCTATAAAGGAGGACATTTTCAAAAGTTTCCCATTTTTGGTGTGAGTTTACTTCTTATACCAGATTCATATTGGTTTGAAATCTATCATTATAGTCACTGACACTATCATGTTTTTAAATTGTTGTTATATTAAACAAGGGATCTGCATAACAACCGTAAATCCTCCTTAGCAACAGTAAAGTATACTTCAATATTGAATTGCTATTAATAATTGAAATGACCGGAACTAACAAATCTTAACATTGACCTTTGAATCATAAAATTGATGTCAAGGTCAGATAACACCAACTTCATAGACATATACAACTTGCAATTGTTCTATACACCAAATATAGTTTAACCTATTGCTTACAGTTCTCGAACAACAGACCAAAACACAAAAACTTATCATTGACTAATGAACCATGGAAATGGGGTCAAGGTCAGATGGAACCTGCCAGATCTAGACTGACATCTATCCCTTACTATCCTTCCATACACCACAGATAGTTGACCTACGGCTTATAGTATAAGAGGAATTAACCTATTCATGCATGTGACTTTAACCTTGATCACTGTTCCATGAAATGTGGTTGAGGGCAGGTGAACCCTGTATGACCGACATGGAGACGTAGCAAGTAACCCATATGCCAAATATTCATAATAAGTGAGATATTCAAATGACAAAACTAGAGGCTCTAAAGAGCCTGTGTCGCTCACCTTGGTCTATGTGCATATTAAACAAAGGACACATATGAGTTCATGACAAAATTGTGGTTTTGTGATGTGTTTGTAGATCTTATTTTACTGAACATTATTGCTGCTTACAATTATATCTATCTATAATGAACTTCGCCCAGTAGTTTCAGAGGAAAATAAAAAAATCTACAGACATTTACGAAAGGAGTAGGTCCGGTAAGGGCCGATTTTTGCCTCAAAATTCAGGTTCATCTGATGAAAGATTTTGGACACCTTTTAAACACTTAAGTGTCTACTTCAGTCGATTCAATTAGTTTATGTGAAAGATTTGAAATGATTTAGTCATTAAAGACGCTCAAACTCAAGCTTAAATATGAAAAATCTATCAAATATGCCATAATATGTCACTTTTCAGATGGTTTTTATCAAAAATGAAAGTGGCCGCATCCGTGTTCATTCTCAACCTTTATATATGTTATGTATTATCATCAAATACAACTTACATTTAAATATTAAGAATGAACACAAATGCGGCCACTTCCCTTTCAGACGGAAACCGTCTAAAAATTAACCAAAATGCTAAAATTTCGAAGATTTCAGTAATTTAGAATGACTTTATGATGCTAGTACCCGATACATGTACATTGTATTGTCAAAAAAAGCCCATAATTTATTTAACAGAAGTATTCTTCTTTCCAATAAATAGCTTAAAATTTACATTTTAACAATTTTGTAAAACTGCTATATTTTGGGGCCGAAAAGGGGTCTTACCGGGTCTACTCCTTTACGAAAAATGAATTTATGTGCGGTATGCGGAATGAATTTGAAAGATTGCGCATTAATTTTATAATGGGGATTTTGTATAAGTTGTATAACTATTGCCGTTAACCGGTTTGGCGGTCAGTATAAAAGGTAATTGCACGGGTTTTTTAGTTATCGAGGACTGGGTAGTGACCACACAATCGCACGTCATATATATATAGGTAGAAGTTTGTTTTTTGTTTTCCCATCATGTCCGATATTGAGCCAGACAACTTATTGAATGATATTCAACCTGAAGTTGCTTCACATGCTGGGGTTCCCGACGAGGAGATTTCCAATGCTGATTTGCTTTCTCTGATGCAAAACTACTTTGGTAAGAAGTTGTCGGGGATTGAAAGAAATTTCGCTGACACTACACAGAATTTAGCCCGTAAAGTCAAGAAGACCGAGAATAATTTACGATACAAAGGAAATCAGGTGCAGTTTGATCTAAATTCAGACATTTTAGACAATGTTAGTGGCGCTTTAGACAACTTGCATCATAAGAGATATTCCAAGGCCGTTTCTTTATTGGAGGAGTCGGAAAAGGTGTTAAAGAAGAGAAACAAATTGATTCGTATAGCGGACAAGTCAGAGGCAGGATGGAAAACCGTTGACGAATATCTTTCTGACGAGGTAGCTAGCAATTCAGTAGACGAGAAGAAGATACGAGCTGCAGAGACCAGAGCCGTGAAGAAGATGAAAGTAACAAAGGGTAGTACAGGTAACAGGAGTGTAAAGAAAAGACCCGCTGAAGCTGCAGGTGGCCCGTCTTCAGTCGCTCGTGGAGCTGATGGTGTTGCAGCTGTTTCACAGCCGCCCTTTCGTGTTGGCGGGGCATCGGGCCCTAATCCAAGATTCATCAGATCAAAAGCCAGAGACATCTGCTACAAGTGTGGGTTGTATGGGCATTGGGCCAAAGAATGCAAGAACGGAGGGAACAGTAACTTCACAGCTCCCAGAGGATCTTCTGCATAAAAGAAATTCGGACATTTTACAGGTACAAAGCTTAGACAATTTTCAAACTTATTTTGAATATGAATCCGGTTCATATTTGATTAATGTACATAATAGACTGAAGCATTCTATTTCTTTTTGGAAAAGCATCAATACTTCAGATTTTATTCTAGATATAATTAATTCTGGTTATAAAATTCCTTTTATCAAAGAACCTGAAAGTGTATTTTTCAAAAATAATAAATCTGCATTTGATAATTCAGATTTTGTAGGGAAGGCTATACAGGATTTGTTAGATGCTAATTTGATCAGAGAGGAGTCGAACGCACCTTTTGTTGTAAATCCTTTAACAGTATCTGTAAGTCAGTCAGGTAAAGGTCGTTTGATTTTAGATTTAAGACATGTAAACAAACAGGTACGTTATTGTAAGGTTAAATTCGAGGACTGGAAAACAGCTAGTCAGTTTTTAACTTCGAATTGTTTTGGGTTTGTTTTTGATCTTAAATCTGGTTATCATCACATAAATATCTTTCCTAATCATCAAAAATATTTGGGATTTTCATGGAAGTTGGGTAATTCTGTAAAATATTACGTTTTTACTGTTTTGCCTTTTGGGCTTTCATCAGCAGGGTATATTTTTACAAAGGTAGTTCGTCCTTTGGTAAAACATTGGCGTAAGGATGGGATTAAGATAACTGTTTATTTAGATGATGGCTTGGCATTAGCAGAAGAAGAACAGGTATGTGCCCAACAAGCTATACGGGTGAAACAGGACTTGATTTTGTCGGGATTTGTACCCAATAAAGATAAGTGTATTTGGAGGCCTGTACAGAATTTAGTCTGGCTTGGATTTATATGGGATTTGAAACATTGTTTATTTCAATTGCTTCCAGAGAAAGTGGCAAATCTGGTAGATTTAGCAGGAGTCATATTAGAACAGCCTCACAAAGTGAAAATAAGGTTGCTTGCGAAATTTTGTGGTAAAATTATTTCTTTTACCCCAGTTATTGGAAATGTCACTCAGATAATGACTAGGTGCACTTTTTCAGTGATTAACAGTAGAGATGAGTGGGATCAATTTGTAGATTTGAATTTTTATTCAGGTTCTATACGAGAGATTTTATTTTGGAGACAAAATATTGTAAGTTTAAAGCCTGTGGCAATCTTGCGAGAAAATTCAGATTTTAAAGTATTCACTGACGCCAGTGATGGTGCAGCTGCTGGTTTTGTAGCTAATTCTGATTATATCATGCATAAGCAGTGGTTGCAGCATGAAGCTATAAAAAGTTCCACTTGGAGAGAATTGAAAGCTGTTGAACTGTCTATAGATAGCTTTAAGCATTTACTATCGAATAGTTTAGTTTCGTTTTTCACAGATAACCAAAATACTGTTGGTATTATTCAGAAAGGTAGCAAAGTGCCAGAATTGCAAACGTTGGCTTTGTCAATATTTAGTATTTGTGTTTCTTTTAATATTTCGTTATATCCACAATGGATCCCGAGGGAAGATAACGAAAAAGCAGATGCTTTGAGTAGGATCGTCGATATTGACGATTGGGGTATTTCGTTTGAATTTTTCAACTTCATAGATAGATTATGGGGATTACATACAGTTGATAGGTTCGCTAATATGAACAATGCGAAACTCGGGAGATTTAATTCTTCATTTTGGAATCCATGTACGAGTGCAATTGATGCTTTTACTTGTAATTGGAATGGGGATAATAATTGGTTAGTCCCCCCTGTTAATCTTGTTAGCAAATGCATCAATCATTTAGTTAACTGCAAGGCAGTAGGAACATTAATCGTTCCGAAATGGCCATCGTCTGCGTTTTGGCCTCTTTTATTTAAGGAAAATTTAGAATATGCTTGGTTTGTCAGAGATGTTTTAGAATTTCATGACATTGACATAATCTTAGTTGCAGGCAATAATAAGAATTCTATGTTCGCTAATGGGACATTTAATGGGCTATTATTAGCTGTTCGTTTGGATGCTTCTCAGATGAATTAACATGCTTTTTATTATTTACAGATTGTGGATAAAGATGTTACACCACTGGGTGTTTTTATATAATGATTACGCTGGACTGCCTTAAAGGTTGCTGGACCGTGAATGTGTTTAGAGGTCACTGGACCATATGTTTAAGTGTCACTGGACGTACATCTTATAAGATGTTTTACGTATTTGCATTGTGTAGTGTTGGTCACAGGACCATATAGAAATCATAACGGTACGTATTGATTATACTATAGATTTTTTATTGGAGTGTTTATTTGATTACAGAAAATATTTTCTACTGGATTCTGGTCTGAAAATGAAAAAGTGGCACATCCTGAGCTTCGTCTGCTTTTACATAATTTGCCAACAACTGTAACCGATGCTAGAGCTAAATCTACAGTAGACAAATATAGTGGTGGTTTTAAAAGATTTGCTAAATGGACAGAAAAGTATCGTGAAATAACTTGTATTTTACCATGCAAAGAAATATATGTTGGTATTTATCTGCAAAATTTAATAGAATCTGCAAATCATTTTAGTATAATTGAGTCTGCATTTTATAGTATCAGATGGGCACACAATTTAGCTGGCGTAAAAAATCCTTGCGACTCTGATTTAATTTCTTCAATAGTTGAGTCAGCAAGAAGAACACTTTCTAGACCTATCAAGAAAAAGGAACCTGTGACACCTGATATTATGATTAAATTGTTTGCTAGATATAATACTTCCAATAGCACACTCAAAGATTTACGTTTACTTACTATCTGTTCTTTAGCTTATACTGGTTTTTTACGTTTTAATGAATTATGTAACATTAAAGCCAAACATATAAGTTTTTGTGACGGTTATATAGATATTTTTGTCGAAAGGAGCAAAACAGATTGCTATAGAAAAGGCAACCATGTTTTCATATCAAAGCTAGAAAGTCCACAATGTCCTGTTGCTTTACTTTCAAATTATTTAGATGTAGCGAATATAGATATGAAGTCCGATATGTATATTTTTAGATCGATCTCGTTTTTTAAGAGTCGCAATGTATTTTCATTAAGAAAGAAAAATGTATGTTTGTCGTACACTAGAACTAGAGAAATCGTATCTATGGCATTAGCTGATTTTGGCTGTAGTATATCTGATTTTGGTTTACATAGCTTTAGAGCTGGAGGGGCAACAGCCGCCGCTCAGTATGGCATATCTGATAGATTATTTAAAATTCATGGTCGCTGGAAATCAGATAGAGCCAAAGACGGATATGTGTTAGAAAATTTACAAAAGCGTTTATCAGTTTCTAAGAATCTTGGAATTTAGTTACATGTATATTTCTGTCTACTTTCTTTGTGCGTCGAGGTGGTCACTGCGCCATTCAGTATCCAAACTTGTGTTTGTTCTATTATATTTAGAAAGTAAAGGCTAATGTTGAAGTATACATAATTGCATGTGCTCAATTATGTACACATATGTTCAAAATAGATGGAGCATTTTAGCACATAAATACTTTATGTTTGGTTAAACAACGTGCATTAAAACATAAATGAATTTATGTGCGGTATGCGGAATGAATTTGAAAGATTGCGCATTAATTTTATAATGGGGATTTTGTATAAGTTGTATAACTATTGCCGTTAACCGGTTTGGCGGTCAGTATAAAAGGTAATTGCACGGGTTTTTTAGTTATCGAGGACTGGGTAGTGACCACACAATCGCACGTCATATATATAGGTAGAAGTTTGTTTTTTTTTGTATACAAAATATTTGTATTTAAGTTTTATATAGAACAGTATTTAAATGTGTTGTATTTATTTTGTAGATTATTTTGTTGCAGAACATGATATTGTCCAAGATTCTGTCAGGCAGTGTATCTTGTGTTTTTGATGGACTTTATTATTTTAGTTTGATGGACTTAACCAGATCAGATACATATTGTATTAGGAAAATAAAATTTAAGGTGGTCACTGCGCCATTCAGTATCCAAACTTGTGTTTGTTCTATTATATTTAGAAAGTAAAGGCTAATGTTGAAGTATACATAATTGCATGTGCTCAATTATGTACACATATGTTCAAAATAGATGGAGCATTTTAGCACATAAATACTTTATGTTTGGTTAAACAACGTGCATTAAAACATAATTATTAAAAATTTACTATAAAGAGAAAATAACTCCCTAAGGGGTCAATTGACCATTTTAGTCATATTGACTTATTTGTAGATCTTACTTTGCTGTACATTATTGCTGTTTACAGTTTATCTCTATCTACAATAATATTGAAGATAATAACAAAAAACTGCAAAATTTTCTTAAAATTACCAATTTAGGGGTAGCAACCCAACGACGGGTTGCCTGATTTGTCTGAAATTTTTAGATCAAATAGATCTTGACCTAATGAACAATTTTACTCTCTTCAAATTTTGCTCCTAATGCTTTGGTTTCAGAGATATGAGCTAAAAACTGCATTTTATCCCTATGTACTATTTTAGCCATGTCAGCCATCTTGGTTAGTTTAAACATATTTTATTTGCTTAAATATGCAAAACGGATGAGACACAAGTTAATCAAACTTATGAAGTCTTCTCCCATAAATGTGTCTTGGTAGTTTCAGGAGAAGATTTTTGTTAAAGATTACAAAAATTTACGAACAAATTGTTAAAAATTGACTATTTAGGGCAATAACTCCTTAAGGGGAAATCTGCCAATTTTGGTCATGTATAACTTATTTGTAGATCTTACTTTGCTGAACATTTTTGCTGTTTACAGTTTATCTCTATCTATAATAATATTAAAGATAATAACAAAAAACTGCAAAATTTCCTTAAAATTACCAATTCAGGGGTAGCAATCCAACAACAGGTTGTCTAATTTATCTAATAATTTCAGGGCAGATAGATCTGGCCCTGATGATCATTTTTACCCCATGTCTGATTTGCTCTTTACGCTTTGGTTTCAGAGATATAAGCCAAAAACTGCATTTTACCCAGACGTTCTATTTTTAGCCATGTCGGCCATCTTGGTTGGCGGGAGGGGTCACATTTTGTAAACTAGATACCCTAGTGATGATTGTAGCCAAGTTTGGTTAAATTTGGCCTAGTAGTTTCAGAGGAGAAGATTTTTGTAAAAGTTAACGGATGACAGACAACGACGGACACCAAGTGATGAGAAAAACTAAGAATATTCAAACAGTCAGTGTACCATGAAAATGAGGTCCAGGACATTGGGCATATGACAGACGGAAACTTTGTAACATAAGGTAACTGCAAACAAGCTCTTCTTATTTATATTAAGAATCAAGGTCTTCTACCTTCTAAAATATAATAGTTGACCCTGCCACCGTCAGATAGTAATGCCTTTGTCTGGCATACTGCGACACTGTGAGACTAAAATGTATGTCGTAATAAACATGCAACATTTTTCAAGGACACAGGGCCAAATAATCTACATGGATATAAGATGCATCAAATTTAATGCTGATACAACTTTATATCAAATATTATTTATTTACCATTAGTATACCTATTCAAAATTTTTTAAACACTAATATGTTTTTGAGTAGGGAAAGGAAATGCATGATTTTTGTACAAGCAGAAAGACTCTAGATGTTGTTGACAATACATTTGTAGGCGATCTCTGCATAACTCTTGTTTAACATTGTCCAAATTTTACCCAAGTACCTCCAGGAGAAAATGTAGGCCATATTGACCTAGTTCTTGTTACATGTATATATATATATATATATATATATATGTATACATGTATATCCTATAGCATAAGATATATGAATATAAATGAAGGAATGAATTTATTTATACAATACAAGTTTCTTTGTAGCTCTTACTTCATACCAATGTAATAAGTTGCAAATAACATTAACTAAGAAAAATAATTTCCCTAAGTTCAAGTAATGCAGAATATGTTTTATACCCCTGACATGCCGGAGAGCTAGAGTTTCTTTGGGTTTAACGAATTTGTTAGATTTAAAAAATATAAATAAGGTAATGGGCCTAAGGCAATCCAAAAATGTGTGTGTGTTTAACATGTTTAAAGTACTAAAAATACTGACCCTATATTTTATGATTAAAAACAACTACAGTACACCGGAAATTTTTTCTTGTCATTTTTTAATAGCACTGATAAAAACAACATATTCCTCCCATTAAGCCAATAAGATACGGTTAAATCATCAAATAACAAATATTTCCGTAATTTGTTGAAGGCCTATATTTGAAAAAAAATTAGTTGTTCCTTGGATAACCTTACATGTACCTATGCATAAACATTTCTGGAAGTTTTGAATGAGCCCTATTTATATTGTGTCAAATTATTTCCCCTTTTTACACCAGTCAAAAATTAAAAAAAAAATCATTTTCCTACCTATCAATGCCTATCTAACTAATTCTTTTCAGCTGTAAGTCGAAACACTGGTGCTATCATTTTAGGCCTAAATGCATCATAATGTATAAAACTTAAACATTTGCTAAAGAAATACATGTACACATGAACCTTCCTTTGGAAGGGCAATGGTCCATTTTTCAGGACCAAGGGTCTCCTTCATAGATATAAGAAGATGTGGTATGAGTGCCAATGAGACAACTCTCCATCCAAGTAAAAATTTATAAAGTAAACCACTATAGGTCACAGTACGGTCTTCAACACGGAGCCTTGGCTCACACCGAACCGTAAGCTATAAAGGGCCCCAAAAAATTACTAGTGTAAAACCATTCAAACGGGAAAACCAAACGTCTAATCTATATAAAAAACGAGAAACGAGAAACTCTTATGAACCATAATGCACACTCATATTTTTGGCATTATCACCATTTTTTCTAAACATCCTTTATAAACTATGAGAAAAAAAAAACAGTTGACTTCTTTTCAATCTAACAGAAAAAAATCTGCCAAGAACAAAAAATGAGTCTGATAACCAACCCCCCCCCCCCCCCCCCCCCCCTTTTTTTATATTCATGTTGAACCACAGCCATTTTCAATTTTACAGTAAAATATATAATGGGGGAGCAGAATGGTGTATGAACAAAATCATCTTTTAAAAATGTAATAATATGTAAATAGTGTACCTAGTGTTTAGAACCTAGAAAAGGCCCTGCTCGTCTGGATGGGCACTGCTCTTACTGACTTTGATTCTTCCTTTGTGAGACGGTTGTGTACAAACAACATTCCTTCTCTCAATCTCATGCATATTCCTAGGGTTTGTTGGTGTTTTGGACAAACAAAGTATGAATGGTCATGTAAGTGGGAAAAGATCCCAATATTGTAAAAAATCAATTTTCCCTCCGATTTGATTTTTGCATATTTTAATCCTTGGGTGGTGGTTCAACAATTCTATTACATTGTCTTATAAGCATGATGTCTTTTCATCCTTAGAATACTGTGAAATCCCACATTCATCGTCAGATAAGATTGAAAAACTATAGTTCAACATTGTCTGCCACATGTTGTTTACACCAAAAGAGTTCTGCTAGGGGAAGTAACTCTGTAAATTGTGTTCTTTCATGAATAAAGCAACAGAATCTTTGGAGTGGAATTTTGACTAGCAGACGAAAAAACCCACGAGACGAAGGCTTAAACCTGAAATTTCTATTTGCTTAGTATTTATATTTGCAATCATTGTGATTGTACGGTTCTGGTAATAAAAATTATTTTGAATTGAAATTGCCTGAATTTACATAGGATAATAGTTAAACATATAGAACTTCGAAGTGCTAATACATAATACTGCAAATGATTTTCTTAAATTTGATTATACAGTTCAATTTAGATTGACTAAAGGTAACATATTTTGTGGATGAGATGAATATTTGAAATATGTCATGTTTTGAAATTTTTAGAATTTGCCTGATTCTTAGACAGACTGGCACTTAATTATTAATCAAAAACAACTTTAGATGGTGACGATTAATCAAATAACCAGGAATTCTGGATAACAACATGATATGGGAATTGATACATTGCTTGGACATACAGATATATAACACGAAAGGAATAAGGAAAAAGAAGACACAAAATTGAAAATATTGTTACAATTTAGACATATTGTCACTTTTTTTTAGAAATACGGACATACTAAACATATACAATATTTTGATAACTTGGAATATCGTTAACCAATTAGATCATTCCGCTTATTGCAACCTGCATAATTAAGTACATTATTCAAGTTTCAAAGACTATCGCCATGTTATAAATTGCGAAATAATTGTAAACTATACTTATCTGTTTGAAACTATTCACTTACCGACTGCAATACAAAATAAAATCAAGTAAATGATCATACAATACAGCATACCATCTAGCAATGAGTTATAGAAGCAACCTTAGTATAAGTAGTACAGTGATAATAGAACTGACATCTTTTTGTTGAATGTTATAGTCAGTAATCATGTCAAAAAATCAAAGTTTGAGTTTGTAATATTTTATAATAACAAACATTTAATGTTTTCTGAAGCACTGGTGGAACTTCAGTCTTCTATTGTCTGTTTTGTCTTACTGTCATAACAAATAACAAATAACAAATACAACTCCGTTTGACGGAAAAAACATGTTTGTTCTTTTATCAATTAAAACATATAAAACTACAATATGTGAGTGATAATTAGTTAACTGTGCATATAAAAAATTATAAAACTTTCAAACACTCAGTTACATCTCTTCCCACAGAATCAACTAAAACAAAATAGAACATCGATAAATGCCAACAAAACAACCATCGACATCTTATGATATAAACTACTGTTCCAGGTTAGGAGAGGGTGTAATATAAACGTGCATTTTAATATTTATCTTGATATAAGTTAATCCAATCGATCTACGTTGTCGTATAATCATTCATAGACCTGTTGGTGGCCTTCTGCTGTTGTCTGTTCTGTGGTCGGGTTGTTGTCTCTTTGACACATTCCCCATTTCCATTCTCAATTTTATACTCTTTTTAATAAATGACATGTGAGCATACGTCATTGTTGAAGG